CGAGCCTGGAACACCAGTCCGTCAAACGGTCGATTTCGCCCGCCGCTGGGACCTCATGCAACAACACACTGGCCAACATCTCCTCTCAGCCCTCATGGACTCCATGGACCTGCCTACGCTCGGCTGGAGCATGGGTCAGCCCGGAGAAATGAACTACGTAGAACTACCACGGAAACCATCGGAAGAAGAACTCCAAACTATCCAGAAGAATTGCAATGCCAAGGTTAGGGAGAGCATGCCGATCACTGTAGAAACACCAGAAGGCAAGGGAAGCGATAGCCTACCTGAAGACTACGATAAAGAGAAAGGTGTTGTCAGGTTTATCAGGATTGGGAATATGGACTACAACGCTTGCTGTGGGACACATTTGCAGAACTCGTCGCACATCAATGTCATAATGCTGCACCACATGCAGTCGGTACGAGGCACCAACTGCCGGCTCTTCTTCACGGCTGGAGATCGCGCGATCAAGATGGCTACGGAGTCTATCAACGGTCTTCGCTCCATCGCTGTGTCTTTGTCATCCGGGTCGGCGCCTGCGGATGTTGCGGCAAAAGTACAGAGAATGAGCGACCAAATTTCTGAAGGGCAGAAGAAGGAGAAGAAATTACTAGCTGAGATAGCAGCATTCGAGGGTGATCGCATAAAGAACTACCTACAAAGCCACGATACGGCCTTTATGCATCGCGCAACAGATGGTCTTGACTTCATCAACCTTGTGCTCTTCGAAGTTAAGGAAATTGTCAAAGAGCGAGAGGCTGTCATTGTCTTGTCTTCGGGCGAGGTCAAGAGCTCTGGATCCATCGTCGTGTTTGGCAAACCTGACTTGGTTGAGAAGATGGCGGCGAAGGTGAAGGAGGTTGTGAGCGCGGCGAAAGGAGGCGGCAAGGGAGAAAAGTGGCAGGGCAAGGTCACTGAGTGGCAGAAAGGCGAAGTTGAAGCGTTGAAGCAGGCTATTGATGCGCAGTAAAAACTATGGGATATCTGATAGAAGGTAGGTATATACAAGTAGAAGAGTTGGGTAAAGACGAAAGTGGTATAGAGCGATTGTCCAAGATGCGTGATCCTTCGAAGCAAGAAGTGTGAAAAGAAAAGGTATTTACATCGAACGAATGGGGTTGCCATCTTGGCGAAGCTGGAGGATGAGAAAAGAAGGCGGAGTCGTGAGTATCTAGACACTGTAGACCTTGACAGAGTTGATGAGCCAGTACGTCTAGTCACTGTTAGTATATTCTTTCTCAACAACACCAGAGGAGGAAGACTTACATCACCAAAGGCCTGGGGCTGGTTCGCCACATAAGCATTGCAACTGGGGTTAAGCTGGGAGCAAGAGTTCGAGCCCCAGACACCACCCGCCCAGTCTCCACAGAAGGTGATGTCGAACACGATGTTCAAGTCCCTAAACTTGGCATTGTAATCACATCCTCCGCCGAAGTTCGCGATTGGGGTACCCCAAGTTCCGGGATCGGGGTTTCCGCTCCGGATGTTTGCTGGGATGTCGCGGGTGGCAAAGTACCACACCTTGATTCCGCCGTCTGTCCATAGTGTGGCGTATACACCGCCGCCGTTGGCGTTGAATTGTGAGCCGTATGTGACGGGGTTGTTGGCGGAGATGCCGCAGCCGTTGAAACCGCCGCCGGCACCGCAGTCCCCGCCTCCGCGGCTTCCTGTCTCACCTCCTGAGCCGATCCCTGGGTTGCAGCCAGGTGAGGTATGAAGGGTGACTTGGTTGGTGGGGGCCTTGTGAACACCTTCGTAGATGTCGATCTCGCCTTGGTTAGGCCAGTTGGGACCGACCATCCAACTGCAAGTACACCGTTAGTCTTGCACAGCATGAAGGCGATGTTACAGGCAGGTGAGGAACTTACAAGGCGGGCCACGAGCCACATGCACTACCGGGCACGTGTGCAAAGTCTGCAATCACAAGCGCCCGGTTGTAGGCTGTCTTGCTCTGCACGCGTACACTCTTTCGACCAGGACCGTTGGGATCAAGGTGCGTTGTAGAGTCTACACCCATGTAAACTTGACCGTTTTGCGTCTTGAGCAAACCAAGCTGTTGAGCTTGTTGCCCGTTAACGTAGTCTACGAAGCCATCTAGATGTTTGTCAGACACAAGTGACATAACGTTTTGCCAGTGCACATACGTGTAGGATCACCGATATCCTGGACGTCGAACTTGTTCACCCAGTTACTGGCATCGTACGTGTCGATCAAGTTGTATGCAGCCGAGGCATGAATGTCGTCTGAGGAATAGACATAGGATGAACCATTAGCCCAAAAGCCAGGTCCGGCTGGTAGTGCAGTGGCACCACGCCACAGGATGGGGAGAGATAGGAGGAGAGATTTGAGAGACATGGTATCGTATGTGTGATCAAGGTGTATTGTCGTACGAATGGATATCAAACCCGGGATTCCGTGATATACTTATAGCCATGCGCATCTTCGTCGCGGCCAAGATGCGCATGCTTCCATACCCCTTGCTCACCGTCGAAGATGCATCTAGGTCGGCTGCACTTAGCAGAGGGGGATCCTCGTTGGAGATTGCATGACCTACTGGCTCGCTGTATACACATGCCATTGGGCGCGATGATCAGATTAGGGACAAAAGCCTCGCGATGTTGCAGCACTTGTAGGGACGAAGGTGCAAGGTTCGAGCGGTTCGCGGGTAATTCGCCTAGTTGAGCAGTTCGAAATTGACCCCAGAAAACGTGGACGTGCCGCATGATGGGAGTCTAGACACTTGTAGCCTCGTGGTAGAGGTAGTGGCAGTTAGACTCGCTGGTCGTTGGGCGGTTTCAGTAGTTTTGCTGGTAATCGGCCTCTGGGGCTCGTGAGTGGTGGAGAGCCATCGCCAGTTCATCAAACTGGTCTTGTTCCCGCGAACCGCATCGCGAAGCGACAGCAAAACGGGGGAAAAGTAACATGGAGATGTGAAATGTGACAAACAGAAATGCGTGTCAAAAGGAGATGGGTGCGGCCAAGGTCACTGTTTCCCTTCTCCAGACGTTCACGTGGCGCGTCGACATACCTTCCCGAGGTTCCTTCGGGAATAGCGCTTTCACCCCGCGACTGCCTGTTTTGCCCGACCACATCTGCATTCCAAAACTAGAAACATTCCAGAGAGTCTCGGGACAAGAGAAGGTCGACCTGTGGACGGTAAGGACGAGATTTAGATGAGTTTTTGGTGTGTCGTGGTACAGACCCCGCAAGGTTTATCCCCATGGACGAGGCATCTGATGTTGTAGGTCACACTGGCTTGCTCCCACGCCACACAAGTGCTTTCTATGGCGGGTTCATCGGTGTCTGAGTCTCGACCCCGGATTATCATCAGCATGCGGGGAGCTCGCGTGGTTCGAGGTAGCACTGCTTGGGTCGACTAAGAGCGCGAAGCGCCTGGTCCTCTGATGTCCTGCGACAGTCCTTCACCGCTCAACGGATTTGTTGACTACCTGCTCGTGAGTCAAGAACGATGAAATAGTTTTGAAGAGAAAGCTAGGTGCGCTGTGTGAGCAGGAGAAGCTGCTGAGTCCAGAGGTCGGTTGCAGCCGCGAGTGCGGGAGCGGCTTTCCCGTAAGCATAGATGCCGTCGTCAGGATCTTCACGGAGAGTAGATTTCATCGTCAAAGCTGGAACTATGTTGCTATGTGAACGTTCCTCTTATCATTCAGGAGTCAGGTGTACTGAGCTCGTTGCTATTGGCGAGTATACACGGCAATGTGTTGGGACACGGCATGCATTTACGCACGGCTCGATGGGACAAAGAAATGATATAACACCAAGACTGTTAGACATATATCCGTGCTTCCGGTTGTATCCAATAGGGTGTCTACCGACGAATACATGAGCTCCAGTCATATCTCTTCAAGCAGCTAGCGATCGGTGTCACAGATGACTAAGACAAGTAACCGTCCGTCCTTGCGCAAGTGTCCAGTCACCATAATCACTGCGCTATGTGTATGATGGATGTAGGGAGTGGCTTTAGCATCATGCATTATCAAGAATGGTAAGGAATGCATGGTGCCTGGGTTATATCAATGTATTAATGTCAACGTGCGCACGAGGTATGGAAGGCAAAGAAGAAGAGTCAGCCTTGGTGAAGCATATACATACCAAAAAGCCTTAGCAGTATTCCCGATCGGGAATGATATTCTTGGGTTCCTGTGTTAAGATACTACAGCAGTCATACGCAGTGATGATACTCTCGAAGATGCGCAAATCTTAACTATATTTGTTACATATATGCTATAGTACCTAGGTATTCTTGCTCAAGCCTGGTGAACGTGCTGATGTAGCAATTTGGGCGGACGATTCCGGGTGTTGGATGACTCGTAGGGACGATCTGATCTTAGTATATCTAAAGAGTTCTGCGGTGAACGCGGCAGCCACATCTTCCATGAGTATATCGTCAGCAATCACTTACAGCGACGCAAAGCTTTGTATGAGTATAATGTCCGCTTAATGCTCGCGTGGTCTTCAAGGTTGTAGAGAGAAATTTGAATCGATAAGTGCTTTCGCTGACATATACACGAAGTCAAATATGTCATCGGGGTATCGTTCAACGTTGCTGCCACCCAAGTTACTCACCCTTCTATGAAGAGGAGAATTCCGTCAAAGTTCTCAAAATAGAAGGAGTACACCGATGCAAGAGACCGGTCAAGGCTTTAAGACTCCCGATTCCACTCGGAGTCGTGACTGTCTCACTGCCAAATCCTGGTGCAGTGTATACTCACAAAGATGACTATGGATGCCAGTCACACCATTCTCAGCCTTGTGGAAGTTCACTCTCTTGTATTTGCGGACAGAATTCATCACGACAGTCACCGAGGGCGCTGTGATGGACTCATCAACCATCATGGCCCGCGAATTTCACTCATTACCTCTAGTGGTACAATGACTCTTTTGGACTATATGAACGAACTTCCACTGTGGTTTACTTCTAGCACAACTGCAAAACTCAAGAAAGCAGCAGCAGGCGAAATCACAACCAAAATACAAGCAATATGGATGATTTCGGTCCGCCCCGGTCCCCGGATACGAATCTTACGAAGAACATGCACAAGCTTGCCGCTATCCTCGGTATTGTGTCCCTGTTCTGGATAGCATTGCTATCGTTGCTGGAAGCCAAACCGAAAATTGGTCCAACACCATCGTGGTTCCACGTCTATAACACATCGTCACTAGTTGGATGGGCCACCTGGGTGGTCAAATTCACCATGATCGATTCTAATCGAGAGAACACCCCTACTCGGAACAAGCCCCACGAAGCATGGAATCTTCTCCATATCGCACCGATAGCTCTCCTCAATTTCACCGTATACAAGAGTTTGTCGGTCAAGGATAAGGCGCAACTCTGGTTTTTCGCTTTGATGGTATTTCGATACTACCGTACTGTCGTCACCAGATTCTTCTATTCTGGATACAGGGTAGCTAAACCGAGATCTGGAGGATCCAAGTTCGAACCAAAACACTGTACGGTCATTGTGCCGACAGTTGGCCCTGGAGACAAACCGAAGAGGTTCGCAACGATGGCTAGAGCGATCATCCTCAACAAGCCAGCGCGTCTGATCTTCTCCGCTAACAACGACAAGGCTAAAGTGGATATCGGAAATGTGATGAGGGAATTGCAATCGGACCTCGCAAAAGAGAAGATAAAGATATCCCTACCAGGAGATAAAGATGTTCCAATGGACGTAGATACAAGAGTCGAATGGACACACGTCAATCACTCCAACAAACGCAGACAGACTTGTCAGGCCATCGGAAAGGTGAACCAGGAGGGAAAGAATCGTGTAATGACGGGTGTTATCGCTATGGTCGACGATACTGCGATCTGGCATGAGAAACTCTTGGAAGCGACTCTCCCAGCTTTCGATGACCCAGAAGTCGGCCTCGTCGGTACGCACAAGTCGGTGACATACGACCGCCCCAATTACAAGCCTGAAAAGATGAGCAAATTGGGTTACTATAAGAAATGGTATTGGGCGGGCATGTGGAACACTATCGGTGCGCTATACCTTATGCGCCACAGCTACGAGACAGAGGCATCTAACACCGCTGATGGTGGGGTCTTTGCCGTGTCTGGTCGAACCATGCTCATCTTGGCCGAGATAGTACAAGAAGAAACGTTCAAAGAGGAGTTTGAGAACGAGTACGTTGGAGAGATCGTCTTCACATGGTTGACATGGCTTACCAGTTGGCATGTCCCGTTAGTAGGGTATTTACTCGCTGGGTGCAAATCTATTGGCCTAACAAAAAAGGGAGTCGGGCCATTACTTGCCGATGACGACAATTTCATCACGCGGTGGGTCATCAAACATGGGTATAGCATGAAGATCCAGTCTTCGCCTGAAGCAACCATGTCCACGTCGCTGGGAAACGTGAAAAGATCCAAATTCATAGACCAGTGCAAACGCTGGAGTCGGACAACCTTTCGACAAAACCCAATAGCGCTCTTCATCGACCGAACCATCTGGTGGAAATGGCCAATCTCGGTGTGGACTGTGTACTTCCCGTGGATGTACAACGGGGCTCTGTTCTGGGATGCTGCGGCAGTCTTCACCTTTTGGTACTCCAGCCTCTATCTCGACTCCCCGAGCGGCAATACGCGATTTTGTTGCCTGATGCTCTTCATGTGGTTCGCCAAACTCAACAAGACCTGGCCATGGTTTTGGGAACATCCTTGGGATTTCGTGCTGTACTTTATCATCCCAGTCTATCCTTTGTTCACTTACTTCCACACCTTGCTCAAGTTCGCAACAGCGATCACTTGCTGGAACAACGAATGGTCTGGACGAGATTTGAAGAAGGCAGAAGAATTGGCAGGATCGGTGACACCAGGGAAGGCAGCAGAAGCAGCAGAAGCAGCGAAAAGGCGAAAGAAAAGACTCGCGAAAAAGTAGATCAGTACAGCTGATCGACTTCTCAAGCACATCCTGGCTATATCTGTTACTTTCTCCACCGACCTCAACCGAAGCAAGTGAAGCCCCCGCGCTTCATTAATCGCCGATTGAGGCCATGGGAGAGGTAGGTGCGATGCATTTGGCCGAGCCATGGTGTCTTGTATGGTCAGGCGAGATTACCTTCGTTTGCAGTTGGCATTTTTGTTGTTTCGATACCCGGGCCTTTCATACAGAGTAAGTCAGCGTTGATATTCAAAGTTGGAGTCAGAGAATTGCGATCTCTCTCATTTGATGAGGAGTACCTTTGCGTATGTGGTGCATATTTAAAGTTAGAATTTGTAGACATTAGCTAGATAGAAATTTCCAACTTGTTTTCATTACTCAGACGCTTTATTCCTTGGATCCGTGCCGCGAACGATGTACAACATCCCAGACAATGTTGCATTTTAGTGCATGATTATTCTAGCGTCGCGCAGCCAGATAAGCTGCCGCGAAGGATCGCAGCTCCCTGCTCTGACTTGGTTGTCTGAACAAGACGTAACCGTTGTCACGATACAACGAGATCTTAAAAGGATTGGAACGAAGGAACGGCGCGCATTGTTCTGAACGTAGTATGAGACCTCTTGTTAAGACGTGTTGCTGAAACTCCGTGGTTGCCAGGATTCTTTGGAAGCTTAGACTTTGTGTGGGCCCATCGAATACGTCATATACCCAGTGATGCCCGCAGGCAGGTACCTCATTTCCCACAGCAAAAACGTGCGCAGAACATACCTCGACTACGATACGATACGAGCAATGTCGGCAGAGTAGTCTCCGTAGCCTCGATGAAAACGGCGTTCGAGCACTAGGCGCAATTGCCTCATTCGTACCTTCCTCCACTAGGGCTGAAGGCGACCCGAAGTGTTGGGACCCTTCGCTCCACATCAACTCTACTTCAACTACATCTCTTCTACGTTCCTTACATTACATAAATCTTCACCTACTCCGCATAGAACGATAACGCACTGGTCGATATGTTGTGCCCTAGGAGGACAGCGACACGCGCAGCGCATCCTTCGATCCCGCTGATCCTGCCGATCCAAAGCCACGCTCAGAGGACAACCGCTCTCGAAATAGTACCCTTAGGAGCGAGGGTCTATAGAGTGGTCGGCGAGCAGACACTCTGATATCGTATGCCGGATCACCAAGGAGGACGACATCGGTCCATGTGCAGGCACCCTGGACCCTCACAGCCAAGACTCTTCATCACCTTATGGGCTCGCGCGCGCATGTGGAGTGAATGTCGCTTGATTTGATACTCTCCTGCAGGACTGGGGTTGGCGAAGAATGGGGGCCAGAACGTGTCAGCGTACTAAAGGAGGACTCCAAGGTTGGCGCCAATCAAGTCCTTCGCCGGCTCGTCCTCCAGCGACGTACCGTGTCAAAGAAGGACAGATTAGCTCTGCTATCTCGTGGTTCCACAAGTGCCCCTCGCAGCGTAGAATTGCTTTTGCTCAGATGCCAGGTGGTCTGATCACTTTTGGTCAGGGTCTGCTCGGCCTTAGGCCTCTCAACCCCACTGCGACGGCGGAAACTCGCCAGCCTGGGGCGCCCATGTGCACCATGAGGCAGCCGCTTCAGCCTGCAGATACGGGGCGGCGCCAGGCAAGCAAAACCTTCTGGTACCGTAGCCGTGCTTGCTGGATAGCAGTCACAGTCAAGCCCAGCGACACGTTTAGGAGGCTCTGTTGCGCAAGCCAACGATAGGGCGCACTCAAGAAGAACAAACTGTATTGTTGGCGCTTCCATTGAAAAACGAGAATACGCGGTCAGCTCTCTTCCACTCCCGACTATCTTGAGAAATCCGGCAATTACCACTTCTCCGCACTGTGTGGACATCTCTAGTGTCTGCCCTGACACTCAGAGGCCTGAGAGATTGGGATTCAGCCATACGCATGCTGCAGCAGGGTTGCGATGATCATGAGGCTCTGCTCGTGGAAGGTAATCTATCAGCCGAAGCCACGGTCTGGACACGCGCATGGGTGATGAGAAAAGCATGCGCGGGCAGCGACAGCAGAACTCCTCGTACGTTTACTCCGCATCCTTGTTCGCTTTCGGGCCGTCATGTGTGTCGCGTCCCAACACAGCATGGCACGGCTCACGGTGCGCGGGAAGGATGATCAACCATCTGGCCGGTGTTTTCACCCTCCTAATTGGGTTCGTGGCTTGCTTGCGGGGTTGCGCGTGCATAGGCGAGACCGACGCCAACGAATTACCTTTCACGCCTCGCTACTCCCTCACGGTGAGCCCGGCCGACGGCGGTCCATAACCAACATGGCACTTAAGCCCTGTAACGGGCCATGCCGCCCACACTCGAAGTCTTCTCCTCGGAACTATGCATTCGCAATGCGAGGTGTACGATCGTAACGAGCCCAAATTTGGCTCCCGAGCTCGCACGACTTGGTGTACGATGGCGCACAGCGCTATCAGTCAAGCATGATTACACCCCGCTGAGTATTCAAGGCTTGTCATTCGTTGTAGCATCGTTCGCATGGCATGGAACCCTAAGATCGTGATATCTTAACTAGGGTTCCGAACTATTGGTACTCAGTAGCAAGTAATCCTGTGCTGATCACCCGTCGCAGTGGCTTTGGGCGTTCCAAGTGTCTGCCCATGGCCTGTTGCTGTTGTGGTCGCACGTTTGTGTGGCCTTCCAGAAGCGGATATACCGCTTAGTGAGTCTAGCACCGCACCCCATTACAGGCGGAGGGTCGCTTCAACCTTGATCGAATCAGGTTTTGATGCAAGCGAAGAAAGTAAGACTACAGAGTAAGCCCCGAGCCTACATCGCGTGGCTAGTTAACGACGCGAGAGAACGTCGCGCCATCGCCGTCTCGGCTCCGGATCTAAACGGTGTGTTGACTATTCTAAACCCACTTCAATCTGTCGTGTCATTTGGGGTTAATCGTATGCTTGGAAGCTGGTGGCAGCGGTGGAAAGCCTCTCTGCGCTTATCCTTCGATGGGAATCGCTTGTCAATATTCCGGAGGTCGCCAAAGCCTCTGCAGACCTGTCCGCACACCAATAGGACATGTGCCTTCGAACACCATTAACAGAAAATGAAACACGTCTTGCATACAGGCGGGTACAATCACGACCTGGTCAATAATTGTTCGGAGTTGAATGTGCAACACACAACAAGAGGTCGACTAGGATCTTCGCGAAAGAGGCCCTTTGCGCTATAGCTTGTCTCCTGTCGGCCCTTCTCATCGCTGTGTCCCGCATGCCCATACCCAAGCACGCAAGACCAGCAGGGTCATGCCGTGCGCTGGAAGTTCTGGCCATTGCAAGAATTTGTGGCGGTGCGACTTCCCATACTTTTTTGCGTTTTGAACAAGCTCTTCGGATGCTGCCGTATACGTTCTTGTCGACTCGAGACCACCGAAGCTCAACAGTCAGCGTGGACGATGTCATTTACCTGCCTGAGTACGGATCTGCGGCAGTGCGCAATCACAACCCTGAAACATGCTGTCTGGCTGGCTCATGCATGGCTCAACTGTGGTTCTGGAGCGGGCGCATAGCTAAATCGATTGCGTACTCTGAATTCGAACATCCCGCGAGGCTCGGATCATAATCCTGCCGCAAAACCCAAATAGGTTCTGGCCTTGCATTTTGCAACCACGATTGCTCGCTGTACTGACGTGCGTCAGCCACATACTCCTTTGCGGATTCATGCCCTGTCAAAATGCACGGCTCCCCTACCGCGTTGAGAGCGTGGGTCGAGGACTGCTTGACAAGAGTAGCTTCTGCGACTAAAGTAGTCTCAACTGGTCAAGTGGCACGGATTCCAAGGCTGTTCTCCCCGCACACACTGTCACTAGCTCTTCAAAGCCACCATGGGCGGCCTCTAGTATATACCAGGTGGAAAGATTAGTGACGCGCCCATGGCGACATGATATACTGGAGGGTGAAATATTGCTGATGGCGTCAGACGAGTATGAAGTCGATGTTAGACAGCGGTGTTACATTCCATGGTCGATGTGCATCAGGGTGTTGTAACGCAGTCAATGAACAGGTGCCAGTTGCACTGCGGCCGGTATACTTGGCAAAAACCAGGCGGCACTGCTGATAGGAGGGCTCGTACCAGCGAGGGTGCGGTTGACGCCTTCCACAACCTTATCCATTTCGTCGGGCCAGGAGGGTCCAGGGGCCACGCGAACAAGATGTCACGCTGATTACCAGACGCTGCGTTAGTATGGTGCGGAACATGAGGTCCGTGTATGACAGCTAGTCCTCGAGAGCCTCTGGTCAAAGACACACGGCGTGTGCACATGGCGTGCCGTGGCAGCGCAAGGTCCCAGAGCGAGATTGCTCTGACTTGGCTCCCCACACCCGGTCCAAGGCTACGAAACGGTTACGGTTGTAGGGCAAGTGTGTTTGCTCGCGACCAGACAACGCCCGCGCCCACCACTTCGAAACGCAACCAAGATTATTCCGAGGATCATGTCACGCCATGCCACAGTAGCCTTGCGATGTGCTCATGTAGGCGGTCACAATGTGCCATGACGCACCACGACTTCAAAGGCTGGTTAGTTACGAAGAGTGGGTGGGCATGCTGGAGTCAGTCCCGCAGTGACGATGTGACGATGAGAAACACGGTGAGGTCAGCGCGATACAGGGCCTGTTGGAGAGGCAGTGCAGCGACGAGCCCCACGAGGACTCGCTTAACGACCCGATTGAGGGCAATGGTCTAAGATTAGCACTGCCCCACGTCCAATGAGACGTCATACTGTGTGCACAGCCGCATGCTAGCGCCACCAGCCACAGCGGTCCGGGCAAAGCGAGAGGATCGCGTACCAGATGCGCTAAGGGCCACCAGGCGTGCGGAATGGCAGGACAGCTTCCCAGTCCTCCCATGGCTCCCCGACCGAAGCGGTGATCAAGCGTGCGTCTTCTCCAGGGTCTATCCCTAATGCGCTTGTCTTTCCCAGATGCAGCGTGAAGGCTCCCACGCGCTGCTCGCCTACTCGCTGACGTTCCTCTCCCCCTCGTCACTTTCGGCATGGCTTGCTCTGTTGGTGCGTCGACTTGCGTGGACAGGGGTCGGGCACACCGCGACTCCCAAGGGGTTAGTGCTACCACTGGGAGGCCGGAGCGCGCGATCGAGGCGGGGACGTGAATTGACGGCGGCCGGTAACTTCTGCCTTCTTTTTATTTTTCCTAGCGTGGCCTGACCGTTTCCTAATCTACTACCTCATGCCAGAGGCCCAAGCGCATAGGGCAGTCAAGCCTCCAGGACAGGGGCCTGGCCTGCCGTCGTATAGCTTCGTGCACTGTTTCCCGCTGGGGGCCATTGCGGTCTTGTCTTGGGCCTTATGTATAAACCAACTTCGCCCCCCAAGGCATCGTCCTCCATCCAGGTCTATGATCAACGCAAACACTACTTCATCCAGATCCTTTCCGACGCCGTGGATTACCCTTCAGGATCATAGTCCTTCCGGCTTCTGACTTGTCCTTCGCTTCAGCCAGCCGCCTCCACGACTACTCAACGGAGAGGGACTGCGCGCTGTCACTCACGTACCCACATGCAGTAAAAGATCAGCAGAGTTTCGACGCCCTTTGACTATTCGCCGACTCATACGACAACCTTAGGATTTGATCGGCACTTCCTCCGGGAAGGTAAGCTTTCCCCTGTCGGTCCCTTATAATTTGCGCTAGCTCTACCAACCAAACACCATCGATCCGATCGCACCTACTCAGTGCTTATGCTGACTCCATTTACGGATATAGGCATCGGCTGCAGTTCAATTCCTATCTGTTGCAACCTACATTGCTCCACCTACCACATTCCTCATCATGGTTGAATACGCCCAATATACACCGAACATGGCTCACGACTTCGAGCTCTACTCCAACCCTCAAGAGCAGCATCTAGAGTTTCACCACAACCAACCTTATGTGCCTGCCTCAACATATGCCATGGAGCACGCCTTCAGCGCTCCCTTTGACCCAATGGCTACTCTTGCAGACCTCCAACGGCCACAAGATCTGCAATACCACTACGATGCCATCGCACAAGGTGTCAAGCCATATCAGTATCAAACCCCAGCAGGCTCTCCACATTCCACTTCACATTCTTTCCACGAAATCCCCCCTGTTCTTTCGGCATCTTCCGAATCTGGCGCTTCAGTGTCGTCTTCTGCAATGGGCTCCCCATCACTTGTTCCGCAATTTAACGAGTCCTGGCACACACTGGGACTCGGTGTCTCTTCTGGCTATGACTACTCAGGGATGGTAGCGGCTGATAAGTCGTATGTGGGTAAGTCGACTGTTCCTTTACCGAAAACCTCGCCTGCTTCTTTCATTACATCTTCTCCGTCGCAAAGCTTCATGCGGCATGTATTCAAGACGCCTATGACTCCAGCTTCAGCCAAATGGTCTTCCAGATCAGATGGGCGGGGGAACTCTCTTTTACCGGACACGGTCAACACACCCAGTATTCCATCAGTCAATTTTCCTTCAGTCACTTCAGTTCCGCAGTCATTTCATTCTTTTCAGTCTTGTTGGTTGCCTTTCAACGCTACATGCAACAGAAACTAACGCAACTCAAGCAGATCCTAATCTCATTCAGCCCTTCCCATTCGCACCTCAGAGCCCATACCCTGAGATTAGGGCTACTCCATCTCCCTACTTCCCCATTGTCGAGCAGCCGCCTTCCCCAGCTCTCTCTCAACTCTCATCGCGCACCCAGAGTCCCGGTTCGGCACACATTAAAGGGGGTAGCGCTAGCCCATACCTACACACTCAACGATATCAGCCTTACCCTCAACCTGGCGGACAACGGCGAGGCTCCGTCGTCTCTGTCCAATCACAAAACTCAGGCACCAGCCGCAAGAGCGGAAGCAGCTATGACAAGGATGAGACCCGCGAAAAGGGCATGTGCCCACTGCCCGAGTGTGGACGCGTCTTCAAAGACCTGAAGGCGCACATGCTCACACACCGTGCTGAACGACCAGAGAAATGCCCTATCGCGACCTGCGAATACTACTCGAAGGGTTTCGCAAGGAAGTATGATAAGAATCGCCACACACTCACACACTACAAGGGTACCATGGTCTGCGGCTTCTGTCCAGGTAGCGGTTCAGCGGCTGAGAAGTCGTTCAACCGCGCTGATGTCTTCAAGAGGCATCTTACATCTGTTCACGGTGTCGAGCAGAACCCTCCCAACAGCCGCAAGAAGAGCCCATCTGGCCGCAAGGCTTTCGGTGGCTCGCAGCCCAGTGTTGCTGGTACTTGCTCCACTTGCTCGGTCACCTTTGCCAACGCGCAAGAGTTCTACGAACACTTGGACGACTGTGTGCTCCGCGTCGTTCAGCAAACCGATCCCAGCGAGGCCATCAACCAACGCCTGCTCACATCGGTTGCAGAGGACCCAGATGTCACCGAGACACTTGACCGCAATGGTCTGTCTAAGAGCATCGAGTACACTGTCCCCAGCTACGACGAAGACGAAGAGGATGACTTCGAGGAAGATGAGGTCGACAATGACGACCACGAGGATGCCACTTACGGCTCTCGTCGCGCTCGCTCCGGCAAGGGCGCAATCAAGTCCTCCAAACAACATTGACAATTAACACATCCCCGAGGTGTCGGCGCAACGCAGCACGTCGGGGGTGGCAACCACCTACCAAACCACCAATCCTCCTCTCGCGTCCAGAAGTCGGGTCCTCGCGCCGGCCTTACCTTCTCCAAAGGAGGCGTAGCCATCACCGGCTCTGGACGCAAGAAGCGCAAGAACTACCCCGTATCCTGGGGTTGCGCAACCGACAAGATGAAGATGAAGAAGCGCGTCTTGTGCGTATACGACGGCCAGAGAAGGCTGTGGAAAGACGACATGATGCTCGATCAAGAGTTTGAAGTGCGCATGAAGCTGCCTGACGGCAAGTCTTACGTCACAGATCTGGACGTTCAGACCTTCAACCGCGCAGATGCCCTGCATTCCGCGACGAGGGAGGAGAGAGGACCTTGGGTGCCCGACAACATCGTCGGCGGCATCAACGGGGTGAGCATGGAGACAGCACCACTAGAGTGGGCTCTCTGAGTACGAATAGCGATACGACATTTGCTTTTGCTGCGAGCGTTTTGAGCGATACGGATGGGATCTACAAAAGGTTGCAAGACAGCCCGTACACAGACACGGCATGATGAACGAACGAACACCCCAACGAACTTCTTTGCTGTACTACCAAGCTTGTAGCTTTTGTATTCTTGTACTTTTCTCGATCGATACCACTGGGGCTTTTGGAGTTTGCGCTTGCGAGCGAGATGTAATGGACGTGCTGGACGCGAAGACATAGTATCTGAATCTATTGACTATTACCATCATTATACTTGCACACACATGATCTGTGACTGCTTCAAACACTTCATTACTTGGCTACACGTAACTCTACATACTCATCCCGTCGAAACCGACTACCCACACATCTGAAGTTCCGAGGAGGTCCAACTACCCCAGGACGTGGAAGGATCTGACATCAACCACGCCCCGGACCTGCGTCGTAGATCTCCCCAAAGTATGGTCTCTGGAAATTTCGGCTCTCATACCCGTTACCCAAAGTAAGCTGCCACAACTTTCCGATGACCAGTTTATCCAGGGCAACAGGCAGGGCGTTACCCGTTGCGTTGGCCTGGATTCAGCCTCAGCCACAGCTGACCATGTGTGTGTGGATAAAGTATGGGACGGACGGCTGGTCTTTTTTCGATACCGGAATATCGGGTCCGCCTAAGCGTGGAGAATGCATTGACGCAAAGAATTGGTTTTCTATGGGGGTATATTTGGTTATTACTGTGGCGTGGAGGGTTCTGCGGGTGCGTGCTCGTGGGGGACGCTGACGCTTTGGCGATGCAGGAGGGCATTGAACTGGATTTGTTTTCGTAGCTAGAGAGGTTATGCGAAGAGGAAAGTCTAGAGGTTTGCAGGCCTAGGCATTGTAGCCATAAGCAAGTATCGAGTGCCTGCATGGCTGTGTTTCAACAATATGTACTCTCACGGCCTCGTCCTGGCTATTGTCGAGTCTAGAAGCATATGCGGTGATGTCTTCAGAAACAACGCTTGAAACGTCTGGACAACTCCGCGGCCAGATTATCGCGTCAGGTTTGCTTCACTCAATTGATGCTGCAGGTGGGAGAAGGGAAAGGCCACAAGCGCCCCCGTGACTGCGCGTCGTGATGGAAAGTGGGCGGAGCGGCGAGTGAAGGTCCGTGCTCAGTTCCCCGCGGTGGGAAGGCAGCAGCGACCTAGACAGCTTGTAGCTCCACCGACTCCCAGCAGTACGCCGCAACCACGCCCACTCTCCCTCTCACATCACTGCCACCATGGCTTCGAATATCGAGCAATCGCCTTTCTTCCAGGACCAGAGGTCAAAGGGCGAAATCGTGGTCAAGGGTATGACATAACCAATACAACAATGGCGCATGTTCGCTAACATCGATAGACCCTCCCAAGTTTGACCTAGAATCATACATTGCCAACTACACCGGTACGTCTCTTACAATGTCTCTCCAGATATCTGCATACTAATTCATCTTGCAGGGTACACACGGATCGACCGACTGCACCACATCGGCGCGCACTCGCCATACCTCGCCGCCGACGCATACCGCCTTGCCATAGCGGAGGCAAAGAAGGGCAAGAATGTTGCTCTATACCAGAGTCTAGTAGAGGAATACAGTCGCATATCACCACAAGATGGTGCTTCCGTGGTCGACACAACATGGGTTGAGAGGCAAACGAGGATGGTGCGCGAGGAGCACGACCGGCTAGAGCACGAGTTGAAGTCATACAAGAACAACCTGATCAAGGAGAGCATACGAGTAAGTGGAGACATCGGGGAAACAGGTGCCAATATACTTACACTCTGCAGATGGGCAATGAAGACCTCGGTCACTTCTACTACGACACCGGCGATTTCAGCAGCGCACACAAGGCCTACATGAAGATGCGCGAACACTGCACCTCCCCCAAGCACCTCGCCGATATGACCCTCCGCCTCGTATACGTTAGCATCGCACAGAAGTCATGGACAACTGTACTAGCCAACCTGGCCAAGTCGGAAGCCACCCAGCTCAAGGGCGATGAGAAGGCTAAGCTGGAGCCCATCATCTCTGCTTGCAGTGGTCTATGTCACATGGCTACCGGCAACTACCGCGAAGCTGCGACAGCCTTCCTCGGAACATCGGCGGCATATCTGACTGCAGAGCCAGCAGCAAACATTACATGGCAGAAGGAGGTCATCTCAGGCAATGACATCGCCGTATATGGCGGTCTCTGCGCGCTTGCTTACATGGACCGTACCGACCTACAAAACAAGGTGTTAGCAAACAGCGAATTCCGCAACTTCCTTGAGCTCGAACCCCACATCCGCCGCGCCATCAACCTCTTCTGCAATTCAAAGTACAGCGCCTGTCTCGAAGTGCTCGAAGGCTACCGCAACGACTACCTCCTCGACCTCTACCTCTCCAAGATGCTCAATACAATCTACAGCCGGATCAGGAGGAAGAGCATTGTGCAATACTTCATACCTTTTAGCTGCGTCACGCTCGATGAGATGGCCTCCAAGTTCCCGCCAGCGCAAGGCCGAACGATTGATGAGGACTTGGAGGAGATGATCAACCAACGCCTTCTCAATGCGCGGATAGACCTCGTTGACCGCCTGCTCATCTGCCCACCGACCGACCCCCGCCATGACGTCCACGCCGACGCTCTCAAAATGGCCGAAGCATACGATCACACCCTGCGCCTCCGCTTAACGCGCCTCAATATGCAGGCAGCAGGTATGGAAATCTCGTCGCAGAAGATGAACGACAAGTCATCTGGCATGGGCGGTGGCATCAGTGACACGTTCCGTGGTCTAGGTCAAAAGATTGGGTTCTAGTAGATCATTCATGACAGCACCTCTCCGGCGTATGCTACTGAAGGAAGATGGCGCGGCGGCTAGCATTTGCAAGGCGTTTTGGGAGCGGCATGGCGTACATATACAGGCTCTGGGAGAAAGGCCATTAAGCAGCATTCTGGCGTTGGAATCATGATGTAGCGCAGTTTAACGGATGAATCAACACGTTTATCAAGACATATGGTCACCGTTCTACTTCTTCTGTACGTGTTTTATGCAGTGGGTGATCATTCCTTCATTCATATTCGTATATCCTGGGTATCTGGTATGTGTATATATCCTTTCTCAACGCCAAACTTGCTAGATCATGATAAACTCGCTAAGGTAACTGCAATATTTGTCTCGTAAAATGATAACCAGCCACTTCTTTGATAACAATCAGGCTGCGCGGTGCTTATCTGAACACCTGTGTCCCTCTTGCCGCGGCCCATTGGTCCTGCTGCTGCTGTTGTTGATTCTGCTGTTGGTTTTGTTGCTGCTGCTGCTGCTGCGGTGCCGCGTTTTGGTAGCCATAGTATCCATTCGGCGCCCATGCAAAGTCGCCGCGCCCAAATCCATTGCTCGTATCGATGGCGGGTGCGGGTGGCTGTTGAGGTTGCGTCTGCGGTAGGTGCGCGTTCGTCTGTCCCGCTATGCTGTTCTGCGCCACCATAGGCTGTGTGGCCATAGTGTTGACTGGCAGCGTATTCTGCGGAATGGATCGATGGAGGGTTCTGAACGGAGAGTGGTTGGAGTGATTGGCGGTAAAGTAGTTTGGGTGTGTCTGGAGCTGCGTAGTCTGCATTTGCTGCGCGGCTGCTGCTTGGAACTGCTGTTGCGGCGTGAGAGATTGTTGCGGGGGCCCAATCTGCTGGGTCTGTGTCTGCTGTGGTTGCTGCGTTGCGTTCGGTAGGCGTTGTTGGGGTGATTGACTACCAATCTTGTAGGCTAGTTGCTGCTGCGGGCTTCGTATGCCATGCGGAAGGCCCTGGTTGAGTTGCTGCAGTTGTTGACGGTGGTTTGGTATCGACTGTTGACGCTGCAGCTGCTGAGAAGCATGAGGTAGGGCCTGCGCTTGAGCGACATGTGGCCGATGGCGGGACTGTGGTGGGACCTGCATTTGCTGTGACTGTTGTTGCATATGTACCTGTTGTGGTTGTGGTGTGGGCTGCGGATGCGGTTGCGGCGGTTGCTGCTGGGCTTTAGATTGCTGCGATCGAGGCCGCGGTCCCATCTGCGGCGTCTGAACAGGAGTAGTCGACGCTCGCTTCTCCGACTCAAACTCTCGTATCTTGGCCTTTGCTTCCTCAAGCTGTTTCTTCAACATCTCGAGCTCGGACATGGCATTGTTCGCAGATTGACGTGCGGGTTCGGGGGTATTGGTGGGTGGGCGCTGGTCCTCGCCGTTGGCTGGCTCCGAGTAGAAGCACACCCGTTTCTTGTCGTTACAGGTCGAACAGGCAGGTCTTATGCCATCGCACTGCGTATGTCAGCTCCTGTTACTTGGACATGCCATGGGCGATGTCTTACCTTGGTCTTCTTTGCCTTGCAGACGTCGCAACTATTCCTTGGACGTTTCCGCTGTGGTGCTGCTATGGCTTGCGTTTCAACGTGTAGTGTAGGGCGTGGTCCGGGGTGGGGTCTTTGCGGAGGGGGACGCTGTGGCGGGGGCGGAGGCGGCGGAGGAGGTGGTGGAGTTTCGATGATTGTATGCTGTGACTCTGCAGGTGGCTGAATCAGCTCCAACAAGGAACGCAGACTCTGTTGCCTCAAATCGCTCTCGATTGTGTTGAACGGCCGCGGGGGCTCTGGTGGAGGGTCGGATCGCTTCTTCTTCAACACCCTGGGTGTGTCCGGGTCTTCGCTGCTCAGCTGCCTCGAGCGGCTTGCGAGCCTGGCCAGCGCCTCTGGGTCATTCTCCTCCAGATACTTGCGCCGCTTCGAGTCCTTTCGTGGCGGCGGGGCGCGCTCTTCGTAGGTCTTGTGTATAGGCACATGCTTGTAGAAGACGTCGAGCGTCTGTTTGGTGGCCGAGAACTTGATGGACAGGACGCCTTTGCAGTCGTAGACAGGCTTCGTGGCGCGCTTTCCCATCTTGGCGCCTTTGCCGTTGGCAGCGCGGTCCTTGTTGAGCAGCGAGTCGTTGCAGTAGTAGGAGAAGCGGTAGCTGTCGTCCTCCCTGCTGATCCAGCAGTTGTGGAAGCTGTAGCGGTATCCGTCGATCCTCTGTATCATGTCCACGCAGCACTTGGCAACCGCCCTCTGCTTGCGCATCTTCTCCTTGGAGTCCGCCGGCGTCGGCTGCAGCGCCTCTCTGACGCTCAATGCGACTTTCTGCTCCGCCGTCTTGGACGCGCCATTATTGGGTTCAATGGACTCGGCATAGCTGTGCCCCAGCGCGGCAGTGGGGTCCGAGAGGGAGTGGTACTGCGCGGGGAAATGCGCAGACTGGTAGCCGGGTGGTGCATGGTTGTATTGATGGCCGAGGTGGGGTGGTGGGTGTTGTTGTTGCAGCGGCGGCGGCTGAGTTGCCTGCTGAGGCTGCTGGGACGGCGTCTGCTTAGTCGCCAGCGGGACTGCGAAGGACGTGTCGATATCGAAGGCGAATTGGGCCTCGGTGTGCTCAGGCTCCTTGGGGGGACTCCTCAGGTATTCGCGCAACGACGTCTCGAATTGGTCGAGGGAGCGCACAGGGCCAAAGGACACGATCTTGGCCTGCGAGTCCTTTGGCTGCCGCCCTCTTTGGAGCTGCACCGGGGCCTGAGGCCACAGAGCCGCGTCGTTGGCATCGTGTGCACTCGTGGGTTGAGCATGGACGGCGGCCATGAGTGGAGCCACCCGGGGTAGTGAATAAGGAGCTTTTGAGATAGCCGTCTCCCGGTACCGTGCAAGTCTTGGCGAGAGCCCTAGACGCGATCATCAACACTTCATGGCGAGACTGACGGGTGCCGGAGACGTGCTAGAGGCGCGTAGGCATGGCGGGAAGTATCAGAGTTCAGATGGTAGTAGTCTAGCAGCTTCACCGCGTCTAGATACTCCACGACGCCATCAAAGCACGGGTGTAGGCATCGGAGCGTGCCTAGTCCGATGACGCATCATACAACCCGAACCTGCATGATTCTCTAGGTTGACATCGCGTCGCTTGCCATAGTGCGGATACTCTCTGTGGGAACGCGTCAGAGAACTACTTATGTTTGTTTCTTTTGTTCAACGTGTGGGTGATGATTTCAAGTATATGCACACCTGCGCCATGTGGCGCTGTTCATTCCAAATCACAATCATGTAGCTACATTTTAATATTGGGAAATTTGTGTAATGCTTTCATCCTACTGAGTTTGCAGTGCCTTCTATCCTACTACGGTCCTGAGACATCGAAACTATGAGATCGATGCCCGCGAACCCTGAACCGCGCTTCAGACCCTAGCCTTCGCCAGCGTGTAATGGTTCTCACACATCTCAGTATTGCCTAACTGCAACATGCACTCAGGCTCATGCCGACTGAAGAACGCACGGTTGTGTTTGAAGATCCCGCGACAATGCCCACAATGTATGGCAAGACTCCAGAAAGCCCTGCAGACGTCCACGTGATCCCACAAGTCCTCCTTTGTGTAAAATTGAAGGCAATAGCGGCACTCTACGTGCCGATAGTCAGGGTTCTCTACTGGACGTGCAATGCCTACGTGGTCGAAATCAGGGTCGAAACACGGGAGCTTCATCTCCATGACCTCGTCGTTTCTATAGGCTCTCTTCATGTTGGTCTTTTGCCAAGAATTGTACCAGTGTTTTCTCCTTTTTTTTGCCGGGAATTTGGAACTTCTCGGACGATAGAGATGCTTTGGTAGTCGGCATAATTGGTTGTTTGCCCTTGAGCGCCTTGCCAGTGGCAGCGTCAGCAGTGGACTTTACCTTACCGGCGAAAGAACGGCTACACTCATCGTTGTTGTGCTGTCCTCTTGGCCAGGGCTGTGTTTTTATCGCTATCTGCTTCTTTATCTGCTTCTCAAGCTGAGCGATCCTCTCGTGAGCGATACGGAGGGCTGCGTCGTCGTCGAGCTTCTGCGTTCGCATGACCTCAATCTCTTCATCCTTCCGCTGTATCTCTCGGATGAAATAAGCCACCAGTGGTTCTTCGCTGTTGCTTCCCGCCATTGACGTTTGGGTACCTGGTGTAGGAAAGGCGGATATTGGGGTAATACTAGGCAAAGGATCGATATTAGGTAGAATTAGGGCAGGGGGCTGATATTTGTATGGTTTCAATTGGGTCCAGATCGCATATTTCTAGAACTTTGTAAAGCAAACCGCTTGTTGGTAGAGTTTGTCGCGGAGCTGGAGAAGAGGGTATTTCTTTCTAGTGTTTTGCCGAGGCCAGCGTGAGTCGAAAAAGTGCAATTACTGCGGGTTCAGAAAGCGCAAAGTTGGCGCTGGCTTCTTGCACTGTCATAGATTGATTCAACAGGGGATTGGTAGCTGCGACTCTTGCTATTACCGATAGTGTGGGAGGGGAGCTAGACTCGATTTTCTTGGATTTGGTAAGAAAGCTGATGAACATGGTTGACCAGATTGAAGACATACTAGGATGCGTCGTTTTCCGGTGGATCTTTCCAGTCGATAGACGCCAATCGAATGTAAGATGCTCTGCAGAACTCCATGACATAAGTCCAAAGGTAGCCATAGCCAGCTCCCCACGTCGAGCATTTCGCTTCCAGGGATTGTAACGAAGTCGAGAGAAGTTACTATCAAGCCGGTGCTCGATACCCACAATTTCTCTCCACAGACTTCTCCATGCTTCTCCAAGACACAGATTTCAACGTGATAAAGTCTTCATCCTCCTCTTCCAACCCCCACCCATCTACCAATCATCATCACTATCCTCCCCCGCAATATCTCCGCCCTTAATCCTATCCACCACCCTCTTAACCCCCCTCTCCACACTCTCTCCCTCAATCGCACACCCCTCATGCCAAACAATAGCATCCATAACACCATCCATAAACCACATCAGCGTCGGCACAAAGCTCACATCTAGCATATTGCCCAGATCAGGCAGTGAATACATGTCGAAACAGTAAATGTCGACTACATCGTACTGTTCGTAGGATGTTGACGGGAGTAGCTTTTGCAGGGCGGTGGCTACCTCGTTAGTGGTTTCGTCTTCGGGCCAGTAGGCTAGTAGGACGGTTTTTCCGGCTGTGGCTTTGATGCAGGCGGCGTATTCGGCTAGGTTGGTGATTTGAGAGAAATGCGCCATTGTGGGGGATATGTAGGTTTTGTGGTGGGTGGTTGGTTGGGTGGAGGTTGTATGTAGATGGGGCTGAGCTAAGCTTTTGTTCGTCGCTGGTGTCGCCCCTCATCCACGTGGGGATCCACGCTCTACCATGTACACGCCGTACGATGATCGTTTGGTCGATCTCTAGCGCGACAACCCCAAACCCGAACTGGGAGAAGGGTAATATCTTTTGTCAAATTGTCAGTGCTGCAGCTCGGTTACAATAGCGATAGGTGAGGCCGTTTGACGCGTCCTCGTTCGCGAGGAAGCGCGACTTCTCAGAAGAACGCGTTAGACGAGACGAATATTCTTTCGCCATGTACCAGCTGTAACGCCAATGATCTATACAGCGTATGTCACATAGGACACTCATTCTACACGCATGTTCGCTAACAAAGTTATAGCCACAGAGACTTAGTCTATTCGCTCTCCCCAAAGCCTTCCTCGATCTCCAGCCCTCCAATGGCGACCATATCCCCCGCGCGATAGTCTCAATATGAACGACCATTCTATGGAAAATCCCAGATATATCGCGTAGCAGCACAATTATCACGACGAGCGCGCCGGCGCCTACGACCCGAAGACCGCCGTGGTATGACATACGCAACGAAGCTGCTTTCAGCCAGCATACAAAGGGCCATCGTCAGGAAGACGAGGGACATGCAGCATATTTGGAATAAGACTATTGGTTCGCAGATCATGATGTCCTGGACCATGCGATGTCAAGCCTGGCCATCAAGGCAGTTGATGCACGTCCATGCAACTGCAGCACCGTCCGTGAGATGGTAGCACGCATGCATCTCGTGGGTGGTGGAAAGGCATTCAAGCCAGAAGCCCGTGGAGATATGTTGAGTTCAGAGAGTACGTCAGACCTGACAATCTAAACAGGAAGGGGACACGCGATGAACAATGAAGTAAATATGCAACACTATCTCAGTCTTTTCGTCAACAGCCCGTCCTGCCTTCCCGTGGTCTAGTTCACTCAGCACCAGGGACCCTCGTTCTCGTGACAGTACTGGTCACAGTGCTCGTCCTGACAACCGCGCTGGAAACTGTCCTTGTGACTGTCGTACTAGCTGGGCCCCTGGTAATGAAGCACGAGCATGCAGAGGATATCTCGCCGCTGCCGAGGCCAAGCGAGATGTGAATACCACCTGGCCCACCAAGCGAGATATCCAGTTGACGCTTACGTACTGGTAGCTCTGCGGGGCAGGCGGCGTCGTAGAATGTGTACGGGCTCATGGGATTGTAGTTGGTGTTGTCGATACTACGAGTACAGTCAGCAAGAGGTTGGAACTACGCAAAGGAGCTAGACTTACGCAGTAACGTCGAAAAGCATGCAGTTGGCTTCACCGTAGCCAAAGCTCAGGCACTTGCTATCGGCCTTGCAGAGCGCGCTACAGGCTTGGAACGTGTTCTTCGTACCGCTGGACTCGAAGTAGTAGGCTGGCGTGGTCTTGACGTATGCTACAATGCCGCAACTTGGTGTGCCTGTGGGCGTGCTGTGGGGATGTTAGCTATTTGCAGTGTGCGAGATTGTGGGCTATAGGGACGTACGGAGATGGGCTCGAGACGAGTGTCGAGGACACAATCGTGGAAGAAGGCTGTATGGGAGTGGGCGAAGAGGATGGCTTCGGTGTTGAAGATGAAGACGGCTTGGGCGTCGAAGACGAAGACGGTATTGGGGTTGATGACGATGTAGGCCTCGGCGTAGACGACGGGGTTGGCTTAGGGGTGGCGCTGGGCGTCGGTGTAGAAGTAGGTGTCGGCCGGACAGTTACCGTGGTCTTCCGGGTGGTAGTAGTGGTGGTGGTGTAGCCACTGGTTATTGTAGAAGTTGCGGTTCCTGAGCGGAGGATGTTGCTACAGAAGAGTGCCGCTTCAGACGTATGCCCATCAAACGCATCTAATCCACAATCTTCCACTAATGACGGTGTTAGACAGATTCATCGACGTGCGAAACGAGCCCTGGAGTCCTTACCATCAGGATATCCGAACTGCCTCTTTATGCGACTAGACGCTTCTACACTTGCAGCGAGCGCTACTGCCAAACCTATGGAAAACTTCATAATGTCGTTTCTGGCCTTGGCTAAAAGTTGACTTTGGGGGGATGAGTTGGTACCGGGATTGATGCTGAACGTCCATGTCTTATAGACAATATCTATGCCTGCGACCGCAACATTTTCACACTAAAGAAGCGGCTGAGCTGAGTATTGCATCTCGCATTTCATTTGGATAGATGAACGACAGACCCCTTGCCTGCCTCGGTGTTCTGGCTCGGTCAGGATGGGCTAGAACGCATACATTCCTGCTACCGCCGTAAATGAACACGAGAACGTGACCGTCTCCCGCCGGCAGATTTTGATCGACTGATGTTTACCGAGCAGAAGTTTGCACTTCTTCCTGCAGCCAGGCAGGTGGCTTTCCCGACGTTACGGTCCAAGAGTGAATTGGCCAATCAGCAACCTTCTCGAAATTGAAGGCGAAATATCGAAAAGTATGGGGAATTAGGCTTAAAGTAAAGCGCGGACAGGGCTGCCGTAGTTGGATCCTTTATCCCTACGCATCCCGGCAAAATTGAACTGCGTTGAGCGAATATGTTAGTGCTGCTGCGCAAAAATAGTGACAATGTCCACTTGGTGCGGAACTTTGCATTAGAGCTCTTCGCTAAGATGCATACAGATCTGATCTGACTTTATGAATCCACGCTATTTGCACGGCTTTGCACCAGAAGATGCGGGCCAGACACTTCGAATAATTGAACGTCTATGCCTGTTCAGGTACGGACCGAGACGGACGTACTGACTGCGTTACACGGGAAGGCACAGGAAACCTCGGTTTGAGTGTTCTCGTGAACATTCCAGAAAGTAATGAACTATGCGAGGGAGAGACTGAACAAGTGCGCTGTAAACTACATCAACACAACGACGAAATCTGGTAACATCCTAAGACAATGTAGACTTTTAGGTCATGTATTGATAATCGGTGTCTAACATTTTCCTTGAACGGTATGCAGAGATGAAGCGCGCTATCCACGGCGTACGACAAACCACAGCCGCCTAGTACTGTCGTCCAGATGGAATTTCTGATGGTCCCTACCCAGCGGCTTGAGCTTGGCATCCACGGTGAAGTCGATACCGAGATCATTGCCTATCTCGTTCCACATCTTCTGAAAGCTCTCCACATTATGTCGATACATCGTGCCTGTAGGACCTTCCTTCTCGAGGGGCTCGGTGGCTCCGACCTGTCGACCGAGTATCATCGAGCCTGGTTGCGGGCACAGTAACGCGACCACGGCTTTGGAGACTTCGACTTGTTTCTCATATCCCCACAGATGGAAGAAAGATCCGGCATATACCATGTCGACCTGCCCTTTGATGCCCATGAGCGCTGATTGAGGATCGAAAATGTCGGCTATCAAGAACCTCGTCTTGAGCTTCTCTCGATCGCGAAACAACTCATAACCCAGCTCGATGAAGTCTGACTGCAAGTCGCAACCGTACATATTCTCAGTCGGTGCTCCATCGTTCGCAAGCATACGAATAGTCTGGCCGACGCAGCAAGCCATATCTAACAGCTTTTGACCTTTGCGTAGGCGTTCAACAATCTCTTTGCGCTCGTCCGGGAGCTCGGAGAAACTGGGATCGAGAAACCGAAACTGCCCAATGCAAGGATATGGATGAACCTTCCAGGCTTTCTCACGAAGTTGGACAACATGATCAAGTACGTCATCTGATGGGATTCCACTCCACGTTTCGAGAAGCCGCTGGGTCTCGGGAGGAACATGGTCGTGTGAAGGGTTTTGTTCGAACCAAATAGGCATCGTGGTCTGGGGCTCTTTGATATCGGTCATCCTGATATGTGCCGTGCCAGCTTTCGTAAGATTCGATAGTGATGTCGGCATCTGTGCAGGCACGGCTGGTTTGCTGTACTTCCGTACTAGTGCCGCGCTAGTCGTTATTTCCGTGCCCGACCCGTGAGCCATCGCACCTTCATCTCCTGATTCCATCCGGACTCACAGCCCGCTCTCCGCATGTACAACGCCGACCACCTTTGGTGAGACCGAAATAACTACCCAACTTACTCGTAATCATACCTTTCGTCTCGATGCTTTTCAACAGGCGGCCGTTCTTGACGATTCTTGAGTCGTGTCCTGTCTGCAGTGGTGCGAGCCCTGGAGGCCACGAGATCCTTGGAACGTTGAACCATGTGGACTTAGCACCACTTGTTCTTCAGAACCGCCGTGGAAATACCTCATGGCCTTGCTAAAATCTTTCTGCATATCAACGGCCTGGTCGAGTAACAATGAACGTCTGGCTTGCGACAGCAATAACCTCCCAACATCCCGGGCCGGGTCTGCTCATTCATAAACTTCGGCGAAAGAGACCGCTTATTACAGTGCCGACCAAGTACTCACAGTAAGGAGAGATTACATCTGACTTTTCTGTGCAACTGAACGGAAGACACAGGTTTGGCATGTCGCTCATGAACGACGTACAGGAGACGAAGTCCGCGACCATCACGCCAGATGCACGTATCTTGACCTTGCCAGCTTACTTATTTGTCAGGAACGACCGGCTTCTTGGGCATCAGTCGTCAATACACAGGTGGAGCTGTGCTTCAAGTAGTCCAATAGCATTCCGTCATATGTAGCACAAAGCGGCTAGCATGTTCATTGGAGTCGTATTCACCAGAGGCATACCGCAGCCGAGATGACCTGTCTACTGTCGTCGAAGGCGTCATTGCCAGTGGGCCTGAAAACACTCCGCACGTAACGTCTCGGGCTACATCCGAGCTGTACGTATCCACCAGTTCTCTTGCTACATCGCCAACAGCCATGCTCAAATCGATCACCGACCCGTCGATAGTGACAGTATTTGGCTTCATGACGATTATGCCAACATTTTCATGAGTTCAAGGTTCACGAACCCACATTTCCGACACGATTTATGATGATCACGTACATACCAAGCCAACAGAAAGAACGCATACTGGGGCTATGGGTAGAACGGCTAACGTAAACGGTACTTCCCTTCCGACGTACTCTTATGACCTGGCAAGCTCGGCTTCCACTAGACCTCGTTATGTTGATGAATTGTGTGGGAGGGCAACGAAGCCTATATATAGTGCTGAACGAAGGACCGATGAAGAATGCAGATCAACCTCTGTCTTTACCTTGAGCCCGCCATTCTCAACGTCTACGCAATGACCGAAAAGACCATAGACACCCTTGGACGTCACGACACCAAAAGCAGTACGGATACCGAATCGTGTAAGCTACAGGTACGCGAGGGTGGGCGTGCAGCATGGCTCACGGTTTTCGGCTCCATACTGGTGTACTACGCCTCCTTTGGGGTTATGAACAGCTTTGGTTTCTTCCAGAACTACTATAGCAGCGACTTCCTCAAAGAGACGCCGCCATCGACTATCGCATTCATTGGGACGGTTCAAATGGCGCTCATGAACTTACTGGCTGCTCTTTCCGGTGCTCTTTGCGATCGATATGGTGTTACGGTTAGTACTCGTCCCCGTCACCCCTTGAAGAAGACTGACGCTATAGTCAGAACCTCTACCTTGGCTCAGGCGCTGGCACTGTGCTGGCACTCATCATACTGTCGTTCATACACCCTGGACAATTTTGGTTGGTTCTGATGACGCAAGGCTTGCTGATGGGCTTTACCATTGCTTTTGGTGTACAGCCAGCAGTCACGGTAGTTGGCCAGCACTTCAAAGAGCGACGTGCTTTGGCCATGGGTTTGGTCTCCACGGGATCGGCACTGGGCGGTATCGGCTTTCCGCTGATGTTCGATCAACTACTGCCGAGATTGGGCTTCCCGAACTCGTTACGTCTGGCTGCTGTCAAGATAGCGTAAGTAATAGCCAGCGCGTCAGTCTTTCCTCAGCTAACTGTCTAGTGTTTGCTACTTGATCGCCTTGTATATCTCTACAAGCAAGCCCAGTGGCAAACCGAATCGCAAAGGGCTAACTTCGCTTATCGACTTCAAGGGATTCGTCGATACACGCTATGCCGTACTATGCGTTGGAACGTGGTTTGCTATACTGGGCCTTTGGATCCCCGCGTACTATCTCAAGCCATACGCCAACACGGTATACCCTGGCAACAAATTTAGCGACTACTTCTTGTGCATGCTGAACGGCTCCAGCATTATCGGCGCAACTTTGGGAGGCTTCATCGGAGATCGAATCGGCAGACTGAACCTACTATGGCCTATCACCCTCATCTCTGGCTGCCTTTGTCTCTTCCTATGGCTACTCGGTAAATCTATGGCTACTCTCATTTTCTTCGTCTGCGTATACGGCTTCTTGACCAGCAATGTTACTGCTCTTCCGCCCTCCATAATTGGCGACCTCACACCCAACGACAAGTTGGGAGCGCGCATTGGAGCTTTCTACAGCGTTATCGCCATTGCGAGTCTTGTTGGTACGCCGATTGGCGGTGCACTCATCACGGATCATGACACAAAGGATGGGTATCAATGGTTGATCGTGTTTTCAGTAAGCTACTTTCTAAGTATAGGCATATGGCCGATGGAGTCACTAACCGGCGACAGGGTGCCGCGCTCCTCATCGGATCAGCTTTCATGTTCATCAGCCGGATGTTACATGATAAGGCGCTGAACACGAAGTGGTAGATATGTAGTAGACTCGCTAGTAGAGGAAGAGAAGTTTTGGATAAAGACGTTGAGTGAACTCAGGATGAAGACGAACTTCATTCCACATACTGGGGCTAGGCCGGTCATATAATGTCCTTTACAACACTCGCCCTCAGACCGAGCTGGGATGGAGTACCTCCCGGCACGATTTCTCACATCGACATTTCGGGGGCCAGAAGTCATCCATGATGACTTCTCGCACCTTCTCATACATTTCCTTCTTCTCAAGGCCAGGAACAACGGTCTCCTCTAGCTCCACCCCACCATAATCTTCTTTGTATAGCTGTCCAAGCTCCTCAGTAGTAATCTTCAGCTCTTTCTTTGCAGCATCGCGGAACTTCAGGAACCTGATCTGCTCATCCTCATCCATGAATCCATGAAACTTGACGACGTCGTATGGAGCTAATACCTCTGCAGCTCTCTCATAGATGAGCCGATGGAGGGTACGGGGACAGTTGAATGGTTCTCCATAGAAGATGCTAACCGGTCGCTCTCTGAGATTATCCTCGAGATATCCACTTGCATCCGGAAGCTTGAAGATCACCTCATTCAAGTGCGGAAGCTTCTCAAAGACTTCGTAACTTAGATCATGTGGCCTCAAGTGCTGCGCAAATGATCCAGCAGTGACCTTGAAGAAACAAAGCGCGTGGATGAAAGACAACTCCAGGTAGATCTTGCGGATGCCATGACTGAAGGTAGCAAATCGGTCCAAGTGCGGGTAGATCTTTGGGAACGCCTTGTATAGTGTTTCCAGCTCTCGAGTCTTGTCTTCAGACGGAAGACTGTTCGCTTCAGTCAGTTGACGATGCTTGTCCAGCCTGCGAATGCTGCGTTCGAGGCTGAACTTGCTCTCGGCCACGATACACAGGCCGTTGTTGAATTCCAGGTCGCTGCTTCCTGCGAAGCACAGACGCAGGCTGATCGCGCGAACTTGGTGTGACACGGTGAGTAGGGAAGCCCATTTGCCCAACTGGCCAACGATCTCAGGTGCGCCTTGCTTGACATGGCGGACGCGGCCTCTGGATTTCTTCTGAACCGGTAGTGGCGGAGAGCGATGCATGCAGGACATGAGGATTCGCTCTTTGACCTCAGTGGGCAGTGATGTCCAATTGAAGATACGACCGTTGTTGTTCCACCACTGGAACATGATTCCGTTGGCCACAGGCCCATCCAACGGCGGGAACTCAGCCTCGAAGAATCGCACCACCGGTACGAACTTGTTCCTCATCCAGATCTGCACCGCTCCCTTGAAAGTCTTTCCCTTATCGCGTCCGCGCTTCGAGATCTTGGGACGGCAGACGGCGAAGACAGGTTCAGTCCCGAAGTTGTAGAAGCCAACGTAAAGCTGGAGGTTTCCGTCGATATCCGCCAATCGGTCTGGGTTCGAGGTGTGAGTTGCTTGGCAAACATCTATGGATATGTTGAAATGGGCGGCGGATTGGAGGCGGTACTTCAGCGCCGCTTCGCGAATCTGATCGATGAACGGGTGTTGAAGGAAGAGTGGATCCTGCCATGCGCTGGGCGAGGAGTTGATACTGAAACTCATTTTGATTCTGAAACGGGGCATCAAAACTTGGTGGGTGAGTGGGTGAGTGGGTGAGTGGGTGTCGTGGGATGTGGTCGCAATGTGTAAGGCGGGAGGATGAAGGCGGGAAGATGAAGGATGAATGCTGAAGGATGAAGGTTGAAGGATGAGGTTGAAGGATGAAGGTTGGAGGATGAAGGTTGGAGGTTTAACGTTGAACGTTGAAGGTCAGTAGCTGCTCCGACTCTGAGATCTTATATTGACCAGAGGCTCGGCGGTGTGGGTACGGGCGGTGTGTTTGTGGGAATAAGGTGAGGTTGAGTCAAAAGTGAGAGAAGTTCATGGGAACAACGCTAGGCGTCAGGCATCTACTCGCGATGCACAATAGGTATGAAGTGAGAGGGAAAGGATTTATATTGTCTGAATAAGCCAGTAAAGATAAATGGCGTGCGACCGACTATTTCGAACAGTTATTGTGCTGAGACGGGTGCAAATAGCTCAATAGGCGCATACATTGCGCAGATCCTACTCTTCTATTGTGTATTGGTGTAATGTAGCCACGTAGATATACGATTACGGACTACAACAGCATCCAGTGCTCTTGTCGTGTTCCATCCCTCTAGTTCTGACTGTCTGTCCGTAACGCACTCTCCTTCTGTGCTATTTGCTATGAACAAAAGATTTAAGTTAGGTTCATCCTTCATTTGATTACACATAATACTGCGATGACTAAGTGCCAAATTGTGTGAAATGTCACTGTCCGTCGAGGTTTATTACTGGCTTTACTCTCTCGACAACTCCCCACAACAAATATTCTTACTATAGCACTCACTGCCCATCCTCATCGTCATCAGACCACCATATCTACGGTATGCTAGCTCACTCAACACGGACCAACTAGTCCTTGGGTTGTACCTCCATCCAAGGTTGCACACACAAAAGTGTCTTGCGACGGAAACGTGCATCGCGAACCCAACACCGCACTGCCAGCGGCCCTGCAAACGCAATTTCCCTTCCGTTTTCTTGTCTACCCCGAGACTCGTATTCACGGGAGAGGCTACTCCGTTCGACGCTGGCCGTTACATCCCGGCTGCCGAGATCCCGTGTGACCGATCCGCTCCCTGGCTGTGGCACGTTACTTCCAGTGTGGTTTTTGGATCGGAATGGCTGTTACGAGAGGATGGGGCTGCGGCGGGTGGAGGGGGATAGTGAGAGGAGGCGGAGTTTGGGTTTAAGATTCGGAGGTTGGGGAGTTTGGCTGTAGTGAATTGGTGAGTGAGCGGGAAAGCATGTGAGTAGGCTTGCTGAGAGGGTATGTTGTAGGCTGTGGAGAGGATTATGTCGAGATGGTATCGATGGACAGGAGCGGAAGCTTCCCATTCCTACGCTAACAATTGATGTTATGCTTCGTTGAGTCTATACTCTCACGGGTGTTCGGACTGGGTTCTTGTCAGCAGCCGCAATTGATATATGCCCGTCTCACTCACATCATGTGCCCCATAAACCATATCAATACATCCGCCATGCGCCATCCGTCTTCAGTCCCACAGCACCGGGGTATATACAGCATCCTCCATCCCGTCCCGCACCACCCTTCGCGCGCTTCAAAAATATAGTCCATCATCTCCCACGCCCTCACCAAACATCCTCAGCCCCCACCTCCCACTCCTCCCCATCCTTCCTAACACACTCGCCCTCCTTATCCCGACTACAACTCTTCCGCATATCCAACGCATCCTCGCCATCATTATAATAATCCTTGACAACCCTATACACACTATACCCCATCTTGCGATACAGCTCCTTCGCAATCTCATTGCTGCGTCTGACAAACAAATCAACAAACCACGCGTTGGCCGCGTCGGACGATTGTTCGAGTGCAGACGACAGGGCGGTTGCGTAGCCGAGGCGGCGCGCGGAGGGGGCGACGGTGAGCGCGGTGATGTGGCCGTGGTAGGGGAGGTAGTTGGGGTATTGGACGCCGGTTGTGGAGGGCTTGTAGGGTTTTATCGGGGGGTCAAAGGGCGAGGATTCGAGTTTGCCTAGGACTTGGGGTTGTTAGTGGGTAGTGCGCTGAGCTGGATGGGAGATATTGGGGGGGGGGGGGGGGGGTTTAGT